TCGATTGCTTGGGTACCTCTATCCCATTCGTGTTTCAACCGTAAAGCACATGTCTATAGGCGACGGTTACCACTTTCCATCAGGTGGGCCGTCAGTTTGTTTGCCATTCTAAGTTGTATAAAAAAAAAGTTTTTTGACTAGTTTTTATTGTTTATTTATTTAATTTAAATTTCGTTAAAATAAATCGACTATAGGTAAAAAGCATATTAAGTATGATATCAAATGAAGTAATATAGCTTAATCAAATACAGTTTGTATTTGATTTAGCGATTACATTTTAAAATTTGTTGTTGTGTAGATACGCCCCATAATTTTGTTCTAACCTTTCATATTTAACAAATAGGCAATGTTGTAAAACAAAGAGAATTTATCTTGATTTATTATCGCTCCTTTGTATAAAATATTTCATGCAGCATCCACGTTAGGTGCTCTGTAATGCGGAAAACGATTTCCTATTTATATGATTTATAAGGTGATTCGATTTAATAATATTCTCTAGGGGGTTTTAATGTTAATATGAAATAATACTATTTATTTCTCCTTTGAAACTATAATAAAATTACAGTTATTAAAGTCCTTCACTTAGGTCTTACTATTGAAGGCACATCGAGTTTTACTCGGGTTCTTCGGATTTTACTCTAGGGGTTTTTTTAATGGATAACAACGGTAACCCCCCTTGCGCTAACGGTATACGCTGGCTGGACACCAGTAAGGGATGATGAGAACGAAAAGACAAGTCAGTTAGCCCATCGTGATAAATATACCTTAAATTCGGTACGACGGTTTCCAGGGGAGGCCACATGGAAGTCGACTTGACAGGGCATTTTGCTAGTAATGAGACTAGTAATTTGTATTATCTACCAACAGTCCATTCCGTCCCTATTACTCGGGTAAGCACCTAGAGTCTTACTTTTACTTGGATTTCTCGGATCTAACTCGGGACCAAGTAACCAGTTGAAATAAACAGATCAGAGAGTCAGACCAGATAATTGTGTTACAAAAATTAAGCGTACCGCCATTACTGTAATATTTTTTCTATTTATTAGATAGTGGACTGAGGGATGTGAGGTTGAGGGAATTAAAACTATATCACCAAAGACTGAGAAGGGTTTAAATTAAAAAATCAAGTATTCATGATGTAAAGCAAAAAACGGTTTGACCGATTAGAATATGTTTTTTTTGTTTTTTTCTTAGTTATATACAGTGATGATTTAAAAGAAAAAAAAGTAGGGCAAGCCCTAAAATTCAACTGGAAAATAAAAAAAAAATTGATTATTTTGTAAGGAAATCACTACTTAGGATTATTTTTAATAGATTGCGTTGTAAATGGTGAGAAGTTCAGTTCCGGGACATCTAGTTCACGTATATAAACCACGGTTAGCTTGCATGCCATTACTACAAAAAACTATATTAGGTCAATCCATATATAGATAGATGCTGATGTTGATGGATTGACCTTAATACACATTTTTGTAACAACACGTTTAATCAACGAAGCAGTTAGCGGGCAGTAAAAGTAACTTCTATCGAGTTTGACTGATTACTTATTTACTTATATTGATTTTTTCTTTTAGTGGTTACTAGGTACAAGGTTTACAATTATACTTTTAAGCTACATACAGAAATACAACATTCCGATTTGGCTTCTCAAATTTAATAGGTTGACGTTTAAGCATAGGAAGATGAATAGAATAGTATAATATGAATATATTCTTTATTTCAGCTGTAAAAAATATTTACAGGAAAATATAGTTAGCTGGTAGAGAATGCCATATGGCATTAAGCTCGTCATTTGTATAAAGTTTAGGAGTTTATTAGTAGTGGGGCCTACCTCTCCGCAGCCCCCCTTGGTAATGAATCGTGCTGAATTCCATTTCATTCCATTTATCACAATGGGCTAATTGCCTACCTTTCCATTCTCACCTATTATTCTGGTGTCCCGCCAGCAGATATGTTGGGGGGGGGGGGTTATCTTTCCAATATCATTAAGTGTGACATTTGAAATTATTACGATACTATTTCTGTTCTATTAAAGAGGATTGTGTTAAATATATGATTGATTTTCTCATACTTTATCGCTGAAGCTTTTATTAAAATGCTAATTGGTTCAAATAATTTTCTTTTTTTTTATGGAATTTAGAATGCTAAAGAATCTTTTTTCTTAAGAAATCTTAGATCATTACAAAGTAAACAGCATTACAATTTTATTTATTTACTCGTAGAATAGCTGAGTTTGCGACTGGTTTCGCGAGACTAGACACTTATTGTTAGACTAGGATAAGTAATAGATATATAGTTATAATGTACGTTTGGTTGAGTTGGTAAAGAATCAAAAAGTAGCACAAGTAAACAAGCAACCAAACTTATTTATAATTAATTAATGGTAAGAATAAGGAATATAAATATAACTTAACTGACATTGAAGCATTAGGCATTCGAATAGTTTACAAATAAACTAAAAATAATTCATTAAGTCTTCAATCAATTTGTGGGGTTCGTTTTCTAATTTGTTACATTTACATTAGAGTGATATATTGTTACAGATTTAGATCGTGCATTGAACAGAAATGGACGTTCCTGTAACTGCCAAACCTCGTAAATTATTGGCAGAACATTCCTGATAATCTAAATCGATCAGTTAAAACTGGAATGCGTTTTACACAGAGATACTAAGCTAGAGCGGTCAGAGGATAAAGCATTGTTAATAATTGCCTTGTTCCTGGTAACATACTGTATTCTAACTTGAAGACCAGACGATTGGTGTGGACATGTGGCACTTAATATTATTAGTATTATTTCCCTAGAAATTGCATTATCTGCAGGGGTTTTTCAAAAAGCGAATAATATGGTTTCTTCAGGGTCGGCAACGCGTACGTGACAGGTGTGTTATAGGCGTCCATAGGCTACAATGGCTGTTTACTATCAGACAGGTTGTATGCTTACTTGCCACCTTCATGGTAAAAAAAAATATTAATGATGACGATAGTTTAAATTGGTAGCAATATCGACGATAAGGACGTGACATTTCTGATGTTACAAGCGTCGAATTACAGTTATCGTTTATTGGTTCAAATAGGCTGTGAGATGTATGCTGGTTTACCACATTTGTAGTATAAAAAAATAAACCTATCAAGTCGACTTGCACGCGGATTCCCTAGAAACTTGTTAATTCTTCTGAATTTGCTATTACCTGACTCTAATCTTTTTGTTTCATCTTTTGTTAGTACCATTGCATGCCATTAAGGTATGCATCATTCCATCTTCGTCCGTCAAAAAAATTACAGTGGTCACATGTATAACTGAATTGTGTACAAAAATAGAACAACCTTTACCGTGCTTCAACAATTCCCTGTCTGTCAAATAGTTAACATGACGTGTGAAACTCAAAGGAAACCCTGCAATAAGATGTCGCCTTAGATTTTCTTTCCTGTGTATATGTATAATGCTTTTTCCATTCTTTTATTTTAGTTCTGACAGGCAATTTCTTTATTTTGTCGAAAAGATACATATTCCTGGTATTTTGATGTCTTAAGTTTATAAATATTGTAAATATAAAACATTATAAATATTTTTTTACCTACTATACATTGTCACCTACTCAATAATGCTTAAACATATGGATCATGTATATTTTTTCGCGATTACTTTGTAATTATAAAAAAATCTATTTTGTAGCTAACACATACTACGTTTTTCACCTACACCGACATCATCATATCCTTTATTAACTACCCACTGCTGAATATAGACTTCCCCCTATTAAGGGGTTATGCCAGCAGTTGACACGCTTGGTAAGGGGTTTGGCAACCGCAGTTAGGCTTTGGTGATGTTTAAAGAAGGACGCTGCTGCCCATCTCTCTACCAGTAAGTTCCTTTAGTAATCTTTTATGCACCCATGGAAAAGAAAGCGTGGCTCATGCTATTCCGAGACTATATGGCGAAAGCAGCATACGATACCTAGTTAAAAATCCGATATTTCTGAAGCCGAATAATTTTACACGTACTGGCAAAGCTGTCGACGTTTATTAGTCATATCATACCTATCAGAATCTTTAAACGGTCTGGATTCATTTTACAGTAAAACTTGTCTAATTTCGTCTAGATCCAGCGGAAATACGTCTTTTCCGCCATATTATGGTGTCGTATGACGAAGCTATTAAAGATAATACAAATTCATATGCTTTTTACGTATAGTGTGTTATTTAAAATTAACATAAATAATTATAAAATAAAATTAGAGGTTTTTGTAATTTTAAAATAGACTCCCAAGACAAAAATCTTGGAAGACAAGCTCGCCTCTAACCATATACAATATATTAATATTATGAAATTATTATAAAATAAAAAAAATATAATAATTTTACTTTTTCATGTTTTTTATGCAACTTAGAATATCAAATTAGCTGACGAACCACCTGATGGAAAATGGCAACCGTCATCTATAGACATGAACAGTATTATGAATATAACGAAGTATATTGTGTCGTTCGTGCGTTGCTATTCCTGAGGACTAAGATGTATCGAAACCAAAGTAATAATAATATTGAAAACGATAATTCATAAAATTTGAAATACAAAACAAACGGACAGGTCACTTGATAGAAAGCAGTAGTAGTCTTTATACGTTTCTATTCATGAGGACTAAGATATTTAGTCCTGAGTACCTATTAGGAATCTGTGAAATATATACGGCGATTTACATTCATATATATTACGTGTATATTAACAAAAATAAACACTAATACTAATTGTCAGTAAAACAATGGTATTCCTATAAATACTTCCCTTGAGCAAACAAACAATGTCCGTAAAGCTGTAAATTATTAGACCGCGAGAATTCACGGCATACCGATTCAGGAGTTGCATTTGAATACAAAAAAAAAATGTTCTCAGTATATAAATAACTAGATTTGTGGAGCAATGGGCGCCGCCGTTATTATAGCGAAGAAATATAGGATATGGCGTGTTCCTCCTATATGTGACGGCCGAAATATCCCGACTCGAGTTAGTCGCGCGCGCAATATCGACGCCGAAAGATGCGTATGCGCACTATCAAAGAACATTCTATGTTCAATTATTTATCGTGTAATCGTTCATTGTTTTTGTGTTTAATTACATAATAAAAATATTATTTTATGAATAAAATAATGTTACAAAAATATAGGTTTTTTTTAATGTGACAAGTGAGAAATAGTGTATAATAGAAATAGTGTAGTTGTAGATGAATTTTATAGTTAAAAAAGCTCAAAATTATAATATGTGACGTAATTAATAATAATTGAATAACACTTAAAGTGTCATTTATTCGTGAAATCATAGTCATTACGTGTCGAAATATTTGTGAAGGTTGTGGTGCCAAAAACACGCACAGTGGGTGTCGTTTATATTTGTAAATGTTCTCTAAATAAGTATTTACGCTGTAATAAAACATGGTAGCTGCATTAGAAGTAGGCGAAAGGACGAACAATAATTTCTTTAAATCTTTTCTTCCCGTAAGTTACCATTTCCTTATTAATTATCATAAGATTGACTTATATTAAAGTATGTATACGTTCTTATGCAAAAATATACTTACTACATACATATATTTTTATATAATTGTCGATACTACAATATAGAATTACATGTTATGAAATGCATGATGACGAACCTCAACATACATACAGACATACAACATATAGCATGAAAAGAATTAACATTCAAACATCCATCTCATAGAATAGACGTCATTGTACATGATTTTTGCTTTGGAAACAAAAATAGTGTACAAGACAAGCTGATGGCCCACCTGCTAGAAAGTGGTATCTAGCAATATTCGAAGTTAAATAAAAATATAAATTTTGCTATGAATTATTTAATTAATATATTATTAAGTTAATTAGTCGAACCATTAACAGACAGATAGATAGATACTCTTTATTGCTTCCTCCAAAAGATTACAGTAGTAAACTTATTATAAATAGATACAAACAATATCAAGAAATGTTCACACTGAGAAAACAATGGGCGGCATAATAACAGGACTAAATCAGTGCAAGTTAAGAATTAATGAAAACATAGATATATTAGACAATTTGACTACGGCATCTAGGTATATAACAGTGTAAAGAGAGCAATCGCCTCAATGACCTCATCGCGTGTTTAAAGACAAATATGACACTACCTATTAAAATTTGTGTAGGTACATATGTTTTGGGAGAATTTGATCAAAATATTCTTATGCCTACTTTTGCCTTACTTATACCTACTACATCGCTTCATTTTAGTTATCTGAGTAATGTAGTAAGTTCACCAAATCTAATCCAAGTTATAGGGATAAAATTTTCTCATTATATAAAAGAAGTTTCTAAACTAAATAACAAGACCGAAAAAATAAAAATTCTATGGTTATTCTTATTCTCCTTGGGTAGGTGTTCAATAGAGCTTCCTTAGATATGCATATCCAGATTTGACTGTGGCAGTATTTATTTATGAAATTGACCCAAAATAGATGCGGGCAAATGACTTCTAAACTGTGCCAATTTTCTAGCTGACAGCAAATAGGTAGCTGAAGCAAATACTAACAAAAATGACCTTGAATATTTGTAGATGTATAAATATTTACTAACAAAATTGCATACAACACAATTTAATTTATTTTAAAAAAATACTTTATTTTAACTACGAAACTATGTGTATTTGTATATTTATAAAAAATAAAACCTACAAACCCATTTTAGCTATTGAATCGTTTTGCCACTTTCTTTCAAATTAAGAATATAGTATAAAAGAAAGAGATAAAACAGTTTAATAATTGAAAAAGGTTCATGAGGCGTTTGACGTTTTTATGAACAAGAGCGTTAGTTTTTTATCGTAATTAATTTGTTATTTACGACCAAAAAATGAACAAAAAATAGGTACATATTTCGCAATTATCTTGAAACTGCAAATATTGATTTATTTGGTTCTTTACCTATGCCCATGGTACCTGCTATTACTTTGGTATTATTACTTAAATTGTGGTACTATCTATGGACAGTTCGCTGTTGTCACTTGGCCCTGGCCGTGCCTTGCCCCTTAGGAGATATGGATGATACCAATTATTGTCAAGTATAATAATATAATTATAATATTCATTATTATTATTAAGTATAACTTGTAAAAAAATGAAGTAAATATTGACGGAATAGGATATCGACAATTAAGCGCCAATTGCTCTTAACTAACAGTATTCTGAATTTATTCCAAATATATTGAAGAAAAAAACATTTCTCTATGTAACATAGAAAGGAACTTAAATAGACAAAAAACATTTTATAAGTATTTTATTAATGTCAGTTAGAAGGTATTAGTAGTTGTACGTCAATATACATTCATAGCTATTCAAGTTATATACATTTTGCTGTATTAGCTTTTATTAAAATATTCCATAAAAAAAAATATAAAACGAAGCATTTCCCTCTCGTTAAAGAGTTATAAAAAATGAATATCTGACAGAATTTTCCGCTGACACTTCATTCCACATTTTTATTTTACAATTTACCACCCTGTCAGATGGTCATTCTGATAAATGTGGCTACCGAATAAAAGGACTTGAAAGGACCAAAGAAATTTGTTATAACGAGTTTTTTGGGCGAACATAAAATTAGATCTTTGTATATTGCTTAAACATGACTATTAACCACGCTGATCAATTCCAATCAGGCGGACCGCTAGCTTCCAAGTTCAATATAAAATAGATACCTATATTAATATAAAATACTTATTTAATATTAATTATATTTAAAATGTGAATATTTGTATGGACGTTTAATGTTTCCAATAAACCAGTAGGTAATAATGATATTAGATAGGTATAACTATTTGTTAACTATACACTTGTTATAACTAATGTCAGATGTTTGTTGAAGTTGTTATACATTAGCTGGATCATATTTTAACATCATTTATTTAATTTTTATTTCCAATAATGTCTTTTGACAATGATAGAAATTATATCATGACAACGAAGAATGACGTGATCATTGTAATGTTCAATAATGTTATAGGCAGAAAACCAAAATATAAATCGATCTAAATAAATAGTTCGCAACAAATAAATGTTACTTTACTCCTATTTGGCAATGAATATTATGCGAAATATCTTTGTAGGAAGTTTTATATAACCAAAAATCCATCTTCTTACAATGCATTTAATGCACATATAAATTAATCGCACCTTTTCAAACGACTTTAAAAAGATGGGGGTTGTCAATTCGGTTGTATTTTTTTTATGTTTGTTACATCAATTTTTAATCCTTTTTTTTTATCTGAAAGGATATACTTAAACATTGATCCCATTGAGATTATATTGAAATGGGATCGGTAGTTTAGTTTATATATGATCTGGTTTTGCCACAATTAAAGTCTTTTTTTGTTTACAGTAAAAAACTGTGTAAATACTTAGGTATCTATTAAATAATATTAAATAATATTAAATTCTAATTTATTATTTTAAAGATGATTGAATTACAAAACCTCAATTCGCGTGCATTTATAAAGATATTAATTTAATGTGACATTAACCCGACATAGAACTTTAACCTGTTCTCTAAAGATAAAACAGCTGTTTGTTAAATGAATAAAATTATTCATAATATTATTATGTACCTACTACGAATACGATATCGTTAACGAAGTCCAAATAGTAACGGATATAACAAATCATACTGTTTTTAAAATTTGACGCTTCGCCAAACTAGCGTCCTTGGTGATTTATCTACTAGACAGCAAGGCGAGATTGTTTCAGTGCCTATTATATTTATCAAAATTGAGTGGCTTAAAAGTAGTATTTCATTATGCGGAAGAGTTAGTTACATAATATTATACTATACTAACATAAAAACTAATTAAGGGAGATTAAACTACATTATTTCTTTTATTATTCTTTATTTTTATAGACATTTTTTATTACTATTATTCATAAAATTGCTAAGTTAATTTGAAATATATAATATAAGCATACAACCTAGTTTTAGATTTTATCAAATGTAAACTTATAATGTCTCGATATATATTTTATATAACCATATTCTCTTTAGTTTAAACGTATTTTATTTTAATTTCAGGCTGTAAACTCACCAACGATTCCTCATCGGGATGTTTCGGGGACATCGACAACAACGTATCGTCCTTATAATGAAGAATATGCATCCATACCGCGTCGAGTTGAAAGACCAGTTCAAACTGAGGTTGAAGCAGAACGCATCAAAAAAGATAAAAAATGGTCGATTGGAAAACTATTCAGAAGAAAGAAAAAAGATGAAGAAAGTGGTTCGTCATCGGAAAGCGACGAGGGCGTTAGTACGAGATCTCCGTCTAAAAGGAAAGCCAAGAAGAAGAAGAAAACACCAGCCTTGAATAATTTCGATCATATAGTTGTTAGAGACTCAAGAAGGGCTCAAAGTTTAGCAAAACCAACTGTTCGCGATATTACGGATGATGGTGTTCTGTCCGATCCTTCGGCAGGGTTTCTTAATTATCGCGCAAAAACTCATTTATATGGAGCATCGAAAGAGTCTCTAAGCTTGAAAGATGACAACTCAAATCGTACTTTGAGAACGGGATTAGAAACTCCGTCAAGAAAAACAAGGAAAGGTAGATTGAAAGCTCGTGTTGAAGCCTTAAGAAATAGTATGAGAGGTGAATCAAGTAGTGACGAAGAATCATTAAAGTCTTCTAATTCTTCATCCATGATTCGATTTAGAAGCGACGATTCGTTAATGCGATCTCGTGATAGTTCGCTGAACAAAAGAACCAGAAGTGCAAGAAACGAACGATATGTGAAGAGATTATCACGAGATGAAGAGAACCAACTTAACAAAGAAGCTGAATTAATACAACAAGGTTACACAAAAGCCGAAGTCGAGATGTTAACAAGAACACCTACAAGTCAAAGTAGTGGTTATGGAACTTGTAAACGGGAACAAAATAACAAAATTACACAAGATTCTAGCTATATTAGTGACGTACACTCCCGTCCTCTAAAATCTGACTCAGTATCTTCATTTCCATCAACTCAAAGTTATCCATCATCTATTAATTTTAACGCAAAAGTTAACAATGAACTAATAAACTATTCCATACAGTGTCCAAATAATATTATAAATAGAGAACCACTTTATGCCAATAATAACAGAGAAAGGAGTGTCAGTAATCATTATGAGAAACCTGATAATGTGATGTGTGTTAAATTTCCATTAGGAAATGTTACTAACATAAAAAGAGAAGACAGAGCTCCGCCAGTACCACCCCCTCGAGACATGCAAAGAAAGGTCGCCACGCCTTTATCAATGTATTATGAAAATAATTCTGTAATGACCGATAGAATGGGAAGTAATCAAAATATAATGCATGGTGTGCCTAACAATGATTTTGATAGAATCATGAGAAGAAGTCAGGAAAGATCTATAAGTCAAGGATTTAATGGATTAAGACGTCCAATTTCAACATCTGAGGATCATATCGCTATGCAAAACAATGATTTTCAGCACAGTTTTCAGTATAAAAATGATCAACCTCGTAGGCCAGCTTCTGTATCAGCAGAACCCAACCATTATGGACTGTATGCTAATACACCTCCTTGGAGAAAAAAAGTTGAACAATCAACTATTATCAGACCAGAGCCTGTTCAGTTACGACAAGACTACTTATATTATGCTGATCAAAGTCCTAGATCTCGACGACCAATAAGCATTAAATCTAGTCAAAATGGTTATGAAAATCAATATTTAAGTGATTCTCAAGCGACATTAGGCATCACTGAAAATATATACAGAAAGCCTCGAAATGCATCAGAGTTTTGGAGAAAAATTGATGATGCTGAAAGACAACGAAAACAACAAGGAATTTTTTCAAATTCTAGAAGTAAAAGTGATTATACCAACAATATGCATACAAATAAAATGGCATATGTAGATCAAAATAAAATAAATTTAAATAAATCCGAGAAATCAGATATTCAGAATAAAAATAAAATTGAATTTAGAACTCAGTCTGTAGACACTACAGATGGTGCGAAAATTTGGAAAGCTACAACTGAATATAAAAGATCTGTGACTGTAGAACCACCCAAAACAATAATATCGCCAAATTCAAAAACTCATGTGAGACATAAGTCAGATACATTTATTCCGAATTCATATACTCAAATGACATCTGACGATGAAAAAAGCTCTGAACGAAGAAAATCTACAAATCTTGACGATGCTCTTAACGAATTAGAAGCAATTTATAACAGTTTAGGATTAGGTGACGAAGATTTATTAGACAGAGCTGAACGTCGCGAGTTAATGACTCCAAAGTTCAATGACCACTTTAATGATTGGAATGGTAATGATGATGATATACAATTACGTAGTCAGCCAACGACACCATTGAGACGTGTACCAAGGCGGTCCACATTACCTGATAAATTGCAAGATGACATGGCGTTCCGAAGAATGAATTCACTTACAAAAGATAAGTCAAATTATAAAGATACACAAGCACAAATTAGTTATATGTTAGCTTCACCTGTATATGTACCATATGCATCAGATGACGATAAAAATTCTGATCATCGCAATGAGCCAGATATAGTTCACGACGATGTTGTTTATAGAAATATCAAACAAACAAATAACCGTTTAAAAACTCTTGACCCTCAACCGCCCTTTGGTATTCCCCTAGGGCCAGTAACACCTGCTCCACAAAGTGATTATTTACATGCGACACCTGAAAATAAAACTAGATCACGATTTGTTCCCAGGAAGTCACCTGATCTAGTATCCGATGATTTAGCATACCGAAATCTTAGAAAAGATAACAGACATTCTACATTATTTAATGGCGATGATTACAATATTCATGTTAATAATAACCAGAGCTATACTGAATTTCCTTTTACAAAGGAATCAGTTGCTAGCTTAAAAAAGAAGCGAGCAGTAAGATCTCTCTCAGCTAATATATTTACTATGATACAGAAAGAAATTGATGAAGCAGTAAACATGAGCAAGATGGCTACATTACAAAAAACGAATAGTAATAGTGATGTGATGCGACGTCTTCGAGAAACTTTCGAAAATAATGACAACGAACAGGATTATTATCCGCGTAATAAGGTAAAACACAGACACAATACTGTCAGTCTCTTTGTCAATAACACTCATACACCCACCTCTCATTTCGCAAAAGATGACACTTACATTCATAATGACGATAAATATCTCGCTAAACCTCCATCTTATGATAAGTCCAAAAGCTCATCACCTTCAAATAGGTCACCACAATCATCTAAACGATCATCTAAAGATGAATTTCAGCAAGTGCTCAGTATGCTTGCCCAGGAAGCCATGGATACTAGTAATAAACTAGGAGTAGCTTTGGCTGAATTGGATAAAAATAGGAATAATACAGAAAAGAAATCAGATATTCAAAGTAAAATCTCAGATAGTAGATTGAACTTTTTAAATGGTTTAACTGGAAGATCATTAGATGATCCGAGTTCAGAAGAAGTAAAGATTGTTAATATCCATTCTGAGATTGTCGAACCAAATGATAAGTATAGTAATAGAATAAATCAACAAACCAAAGCCAAAAAGACAGAGGACAGTCTATTAGCCATATCAGATCAATTACATAAGGTTGAAGACCAACTCAAACATAGCTTCGAAAAGGAACTAAAATTTGAGGATGAAAGTTTGCGGCTTTCTAAGTATATAACAAAAGCTGAAGAACAGTTGAAGGCTGAAGAATCAACAGTAGTACCTACTGATAATAAATTAGTACCGGATGTTGTACCATTAAATATTAAAAACGATGCTGTAAAAGTCGAGAATATTGGCGAGTCTACAAACAAACAGGAAAATAATGTCGTTCCTGAAATTAATTCACTTAATCCCTTTTTAAACATCGATGATAAGATCAAGGAAATTAATGAAATAAACGCTTTCAAAGAATTAAAAGACGGAATTTCGGATTTGATAGCTGGAATTACACAAGTTAATGAAAAATTATTAATATCTAAGTCATCTAAACCAGAAAATAATAGTACAAATAATGAAAAAATTACAGGAATAACAGAAGCTAGTGAAAAACTTAACCGGGTGACTCAAAATATTTCTAGGCAAGAATTATCTAATAGAGGTTCTGTTAATTTATCAATATACGAAGATGACTTAGATATTAAAAAAGACGCAGCAGATTCAACTGAATATAACTCATCTGAAGAATTGTCAACTATCTTCAAACTTAATGAAAATAATGCAAAGCCTCAAATAACTCCTGTTGATGAAGTTCAGTCTGAATCTGAGAATACTATTCGAGACGAACTGAGTTCTCCTAAACTTGTTCAGTCTATGAATCAACAGCTTAGGAGGTTTTCAGTGGACCAAACAAATGATAATACAGCTAGTCAAAGCAACTCACTGCCAACTAATATTGTGCCGTGGAGAACTAACAGGCAAAGTAATTCAGATAAAGAAAAAAGAGGTACGTGGCCGATACTCATGCACGGTGTTTGGTTTTCATTTTAACCATAATGCATCAAGCTTATTGTTTTCATTTCACATTTTGTGTTCACAATTTCTTTGTTTTGCGAATTTTAGTTGCATATAATAAAATACTAACTAGTTTTTATATCGTTTGCGTTGTTTTGGTTATTTCGACAGGCGATAACACGCAGTCAAAGCGCAGTTGGCACGACACTGGCACATTGATGTTAGCTTGCTCGTACACCCTGATGTTCTCCCAACACCTGGCAGATCTGGACTGGTTGACGCTGCTCGGCTTGCTCCTGGCCATTATTACCATTATTGCTATGCTTATAATTTAACCATTAATTATAAAATATAGATGACAAATATATGCAATATATAATTTGCAACTAGCAAGCTAGATGTATAACATAATTTGCACCTTCGCACATAGGCATACTTACTATAATTTATTTTTGTCATCGTTTGAAAGAAATGATTTCTGTTTGTTAAAATCTTAACTAATGGTAATTAAAGTAAGAATAAAACTGACAGAAATTTCATGAAATTGCATTTTTCGTACTGTGAATAATTATATTTTTTTTTATTTGACCTATAGTTCTAATTAGGCATTATTTTGGTAGTAAATATAATGTTAAACTTAAATACTTTAGCTGTGATTATATTTTAATTGTCTACTTATTGTTTATTAATATATTACACATAATTAATTACTTAGTTGTGAGTGCCAAAATTAACGATCAGTTAGATGAACTGTTAAGTTTAAGTTACTAAGTTGCTGTATTAAGAGCATGGATTTTAATGATGTATTTTTGTTCTGTGCATGTTGTGTAGTTTTGTTGTTTTGTGTGTATAGATATTTTTGTAGAGGACACTTTAAATCAGTTTCTAAATGAGTAAAATTCTTCTGTTCACTTATGAAATATGTATTATAATACAATTTCGTATTTATAATAAATAAGTTTTAATAACCGTTAATGAATTTGAGTATCCTACTTTTATTTATTATCATTACTTTAATAATAGGTTAATGTACCTACTTTATACTACCCAGTATATAAAATATTTTAGAAAATATTGTAAATGAATGGATTACTCTAATATAGTTTAAATTTACTATGTATGTTTTCATATTTCCGTGCATTATTTTAGTACCTAAATATAGGTATTTTATATATTTTCGATGATATTCAATGAGCACTTACCTAATATAATGATTTTTGTAAAGGACATATATAATTTGATTGATTTAATAAATACTGTTTTTATTATAGAATTTAAGCAAAACGTTTAAGTTAGGTACTTGAATGAATTTGAATCTTTTACAATTTACTCGTAATTTGTGTACATTTAATTTTTATAAACAATAATTTTAAATGAAGTAATTAGTTATAATGAATTATGTCATAAAATAAATGATTACTTACGACATGATTTGCAATTATAATGATTTTAAATCACCAAGGTAGAAAGAAAAATGTATGCAATTGTGTAAAGATATATTTATTTCGTCTCCAATGCTAAATAAAGTTAATAAACATGTACATCTGTCCGTTCACGATATCGGAGAGAAAAGTTACAAAAAATATTACCATATAATTATTTTAAAAGTATCACTACATAATTATCGTCTGTTTTATCAGAACTTAATGAAAATATAAATGTAAACATATAATTGTTCTGAAAATAAGGACCTGCTGATGTCCAAGAATACATAGTATAAAGAAAAATAAAAGATTATTTGATTGAACGTTTCGATCAATTAATTTTATTTATGGAGTAGTTCTATTATAATTTCGAGAAAAATTGATTATTTTTTCATTAAATTCTATTAAAACAGACTGTATATACATTTTAATTTATGATCTTGCCATGCTATAAAAAAAACTACTATAATTATATTATTTTTATTTAAAATATGTTTAACATAAAGATTATGTAATTGTTATTAAAGATAGCATGAGCAGATGTAAAATTTTCTATAAAAGTGATCTCTTTCATCGAACGTAACAGTCGTTAATTACCAGAGTGAAAATGATAACATATATAAACAGAATCTAGAGACAATGTAGAGCTATTGTAAATAAATATTAGTGAATGTCTCCATTTTTTTTTTTACTAAGCAATTACTATTTTGTATTTTTGTATTTTTATAACTTTATTTCAATATTCTCTTACAACAAAAAGTATCATGCCCACAATAGACAAAACAAAGTTAATCCATCAAACATTAATTCATTGAATAAATACACTCGCGTATGCATACATTACGATAACTGTACTCATTCCTTATCGAAATAAAAAAATAAACAAATGTGTTGCCAGAAGTAAATTTTAAAATTAGTTCAATTTGTAATTCCATTTTATATCTTCTTCTTTTTCTACTTGGCTTTATCCCGGCTTTTGCCAGGGTCCGCCTTCCGACTCAATTTTATATATTTCATTATCATTATCGCAGTCTAAAGGAACCTTGTATTATTATAACACGACGTCAGTGATAAAAATTATCTTGACATTAATTAAATATCTTGAGGTGATAATGTAACTGTTTCTTAACTTATCAAAATATAAAATATAATTTCCAACTGTTAATGACTTTTTTATGGATGATCATGGGAACTGGGGTCCATTACCAACAAACTCTTCACCTAAATAATAATTATAGTTTGCTGTTTAGTAGTGTTACGTCTCATCATCATCTGATTTATGTTCTGGTTTACACAATGTTTTACTTTTTAAATTTATCTTCTACATTTTAGGTTAATTAAAGAGAGTTATGGAGACAGTACCTAATATTAATTTAAAAGAATATTAAGCTATGCATATAAACTGTAATTAACAGACTAATCCCAAACCTAGTGCTAGTATTTAATTGAACAATTTTCTCCAAAGAGTATAATCGAAATATAAAAGTAATTTTTAAAATACTTACTCTGTGAGTTATAAAGTAACTTCAGATACACATTCAGTGATTATGAACGGTATTGAAATTGAGCGCATTTAATCAAATTCTACACATATTTCTAACATTTAAATATTATATTTATTCTTTGAAATCTGATTTCTTATTTACGGCAAATAATCAACTTAAATCATGTCTACTTATTATTTCATTTCAATTAGTGACAATTTAAATTATAAGTTCTATATAGGATCGTGAATATTGGTATTTATTGTATATCTAATATTCTAATATTATTAATTATAGGTCACCTAATCAATTATTATTTAGAGTAGTGCCCATACCTCTATATATTCTATATATCTTCTTCCATGATTATTACATCAATATAATTGTATGCTTTAAATTCAATAAATTGTTTGTTTTTAGGTGAAAACTGATTGCCAAGAGTCTGCCTACGACACAGTGTAAGAGACTACAAAATGTTTATTTTAAGCCATTTTTAAATTAAGCTACTCCCTGTATCCTATTCTATAGCTGTGTATATGACTTATTATTACTGTGTTTATGTAGAGGCTTCCAGTTACATTAAAAAGAGCGTTATTTATATGATAAAAAAGTTATAATTTAAATAAAAATGTTTCAGTTTAAATCGTCTTTTTTCTTAATCCTATCATTATGTTAATTTCCATCTAACAATAATTTAGACCATGATAAAGCCGCAGATATAGAATGTACATTTATACATGTAAAAACTTCAATAAAAGATATGCTCACGACTACAATTTTCAAGGGGATAGTAAAAAGCAAACGTCAATTATTGCTGTTTTGGTGAATATCACACTCAATATTTCTCTGGTTATATTAAAAATTTTAATTTAAATATAGAAAATTTTACAAAAGTATACCCAAAATACAGGTAGATAGATTTTATTGATTAATATTTTACTATATTTTTTATGTTACTTGGAAAGGCAAATGACATAGATTAAGGATAATACCTACAATCCTCCTTTTAAGGCAAAGTAGCTGATGGCACATCTACCACAACCACTCTCAAGGTAGTGAGCGAATCGTCACTTATTTATATGAGCAGTATTATAAAATTCATTTACACTGTAAAGGTCATTGCTTTGGAACAAAATAAAAGTAAGCTTTTTCAAATATTCCAAGTAGATGCCCAACCATTATTAAAATTACGAAACTATACACATAAGTAATAAAATCTATTATGAAATGCAAATAATATTTATAAAAATATTACAAGTAGTTATTTACTAAACTATATAAAATTTTAGATACCTAAATAAAAAAAAATTAAAACAATGTTTTCTTTCTTTTTATAAATGCAGAGACATCTATGAAATTTTATATAAACTACGTGAAACAGCATTTCGAACACATTTTATACATAACGCCATCTATGTAATAATTTATGTACTAATTGTGCTATGTGTTGTTTCATATCTTTGACAGATGGCACCAGGACGTCGTTTTTATCAAATTTTGCTTCCTAATTATTTAAAACTATTTTTTTTTCGATATTTTCCATTACTCTACATTTCAGTTAATAGTATCATATTTTATTCTGGTCTGAACGTTCAAAATAAATTTATCGTGATTTAAGAATTGTAAGACATTATAACTGTTGTGTCTCTGCCTCTTCTTTGGGATTATAATATATAAAAAAAATTAACTGTCACTTTTTCGCAAGAGACGTATGCGTGTGTTGTGAATTTTTATTTGCAGAAGAATTTTGTTATTTTTTTGTATTACGGTGTTACAATAAATATGAATATAAGGTTCTTCGAAAGATTTTTGTACTTAGTGTTTATTAGTTTTACTATGTAGGCGCCGCGTGTGCATTTAATTAATTGTTAGTAATCTACAACCTACTTTGTTCCTGTTGACCTGCCTCATTTGACTGTGATTTTTTAAAAGGTAACGGTTTTAAATTTATGGATTAATTAATAATTTTGTTTTAATTTAAACCTTAACTAATGTTAATTATAAGCGTTACCGGCGTTTTTATCTTTAAAATATGTTGAAATGTCGCATATATATACAAAAAATTAGGCATTTTGTGATGAACTAAATCAACCAATGACTGATGTTATCTTTTATTTGTTATTGAATTTATTTCAAGGCAATTAGACCTCTACAGATACTAGAATGGTCAGTTTATTTCATAACTTTTCGCATAAAGTTCTTAACCAAATGCTTAGGTTAATGTACTTTATATCCCCTGATCACAATGATTTTATATTTTATAATTATATAAAAACATAGTTATCTGAAAAAGATCTAAACCAATATTTAATTATGCATGTATTTTTTATTCATCCAAGTAGTAACTGCCAGTATCATATAGGTATGTTTATGGATTGCAATATATGGACAAATAATTTTCATCTTTGGTTATTATAATATTACTATAAAAAAATATAATAGATCTACTATTATTACATAATAGATCTGGTTGGATTTATTGATTTCATACATTTGGTTTGTTACATACATTTAAAATCTTTGTTTATAACTTATTTTTTTATATTTAAAACAACTCCAGTTCTTGAGTTTGTCCTAAGGTTCAGTTTTATAGTTATTCTTAGTTTTGTTTTGTCTAAATTGAAAAGGGTCAAAGAGTTATTTAAATAATTTAAAAAAGGAGGTGATAGTTGGATAATTTTTTATGTGTATTTATGCAGCTGCAAAGTCTTCACTAATTTATGTATTTGTTTTTATTTTTCAAAAATATTATTAAGTAATGTAGTTGAATATGAGATCTTTTATTTATTTATTTCTTTTTAAGTATTTTCTAAAGAATAACATTCTAAAATCAAATATAATATTCCTGAAAATGGTAACAACACTATGTTGATAGTTTCGAGGTTGACCTCCACATGGTCTCCCCTGTAAACCATCTTGACTAGTAACTAGTGAATTTGTCATGATGGGCACACTGACCTAACTTTACTTTCACCTATCATCATTAATAGGTCAGGTGTGGGTGCTATTTCATTTTTTTTTCTTATAAAAAATAAAACATGGAGGGTACTTTGGATACTATATTGTATCCTTATGTCTATTGTGCTGTCTATGTTTATAGAGAAGTACTAATTAATTTTTATCAAATTGTTTGTTATTTCATGTTGAATAAAAATAACATACCTAAATGTTATAAATAGTCAAATATTATTAAAATTATATTTAGTAGTTTTTATAGAGGATTTTTTTTTTAAATTGGTTGAGTAGTTTTTGAGTTTATCCCCTACAACCAATAAAAATTTTCCTGTTTATAATATTAGTTTAGATTGTATAAAAGTATAGATATACTTAGATAAATTCATAAAAATTATATAACATTAAACAAAATATTTTATTTAGATCAAATCTCGTACAAAGATACGACTTGCAAAACCAATTGAAGTGATTAGGTGGGGAAGTGATAAATCTTGGTCATCCTTTGGTTTGGACAAGGGACACATGACCCCATTTTATATTTAGCACATAACCTGCCTTCCGGAAGTCCTTTGAGGGCAATTTTCCTATTGGCCAAAGTTTAACCAGTTAACTCTGGATTATCTAAAGTTATAAAGTGGTAACCTAAATATATTTATAGATATCTTTCTCTGTTTGACTTTATTAGGTGAATTTATTTGTATAAAATTTATAAATAAATTTTATTAAGAATTTTGGTAATTTGTATGTACAATTTGATTTATCATCATAATGTTTCATGTCACACAACTGATCATTTTTACTTTTATAGAGTACAATTTATGTTGCTTGTTTTCTTTATTCTATAACCTCTATGGCCAGATTATTTGTTATGGATATTGATTTATTATTTTTTTCACATGTATTATCTTCTTTGTTTTGTTCCCCAAATCACCTCTTACAACTGGCTTTTTAGTTTTCTACTTCTTGGAATGAAAAGGAGTGGAAACACATTGTTTTATACTGAATCAGTCACCAGTTCACCATTTGGAGAAATTAAAATAAAAATAACAAGAATGACCTGTTTCTTTGAATAATACATTTTTATTAATTATCTAATAATTTCATCCTTTTATAAAAAAATTAAGATTGAAAAATCCTTATTCTTACTGATATAAAAGTGATTTTGTTTCCTTGTTTCTCACTTCTTAGCGGGTTAAAGGCTAAACCAATTGTCAAACCTGATCAGTCAACATATTGCGATAATGGGGGCTAAATTACGAGTAGAAACTAGTTAATTAATAATTTTTAAAGTCACTAGTTTGTTTGTTTTTTACCTTTTGCCGCTTTAACTGATAAGCCAATCATAATGTCATACATGTCATATGCTACTTATTTTGCGGTCACGCGGACGAATTCGTAGGCATAGGTAGAATCTGGTAAATAGGTTGTACAAACTGGGGGAAAGGGATTGTTAGTAATGGGGATTTACCAGCTCCATTATTAGCAATATACCTTATCAAGTTGTCCACGCGGTTCTCCCTGGAAACCATCGTGGTTAATTCCTGTACAATTTATAACGATGGGCTAACTGACCAGCTTTCATTCTCATCTATCATCCGATAGCGCAGACGGGATTTCCATAGCATTATCATCTCACAAAAAAAATAGATTGTATGTAGGTTTAACGTTAAAAGAAAGTAGGCTTCAATGGTATGGCCATTTAATGAGAAGAGATGACTGCTTCACGGTAAAAAAATGTCATGAATATGCCTACGAAACACTGGGGAAAGGGAAGACCTGTCGGAACGGAACGAAGCCTAGCTTCTATGTCAACTCAGGGTTGACAGAGCGTCCTGGCGCCGCTATGCAAGAAGAACCGACCCCGGATAGTGCTGGGATTAAGGATTGTAAAATGAAGAAGGTTTAACACTATCATATTTTTGCGAAAAAACCTACCGATTTACGTACCGTATATTATCACAACCTTTATTGATCTCGTATATTATACACTAGCTTTTGTTTGCAATTTTCGCGAATTTTGGAAAACTACTGAAGTAAACTATTTCTAGATGGCGTTTTAAGATAAATATACACCAGCTGTTAGTGCAGTATTATTTTCCGTAATAGTTTCTTAGGTCAGTTAATGTACATAGAATATAGATTCTATAAATATATACTTAAGTAGATATTTATTATCTCGCACTTTTTGAATACCTGCTGTGTAGTGATCTAATCGTGATTCGATAACAATATGCTATTTAAAATATCTGTGTTATATTTAATGAATAATCATGACCATAATTTTATACTTAAAATAGTAATTGTCTCATTTCCCTTTTTTCTAAGTATTTGACTTTTACATGACTATCACGTTCTGTTAGTGTTTTTATTGGTTTGTTCAACGTACGTAATATCGTTTGGATAAATTATACTCGCTGTATTATGTAGCTTTCTCTAGGCGAAAGAATTTTTTGAATCGGTGAATTATTTAGTTTACATTATATATAAAAATTCTTTTATTTTTGTAATATTTGTTTAAATTTAGATAGTTTCATAAGTGGGAAAGTGATTGAAATTAGAAGACAGAATTGTATGTCGTAAATGTTGGTATGCAGTAAGCAAGATTTTGTTCAGCAAAGAAAAATGTCTATAATTGTAATAAAATTAACGTAAACCCTCTTGATTACAAAACAGTTAACGAAATCTGTATAAAATTAGTGAAGATAGGAAAAATACAAACGAGAACCCCCGGTTTGCTTAAAAAATAAAGCCTTGAACGCATAAGGCCATAATTACTAGGGTGTTACTAATGTGATTTGTCAAATGGAAAATAAATGGAAATATGATAATAGGTTCTCTTACCTTCTAAAATAATGGGTAGTAAAATTAATAACCACCTTCGGCAGTGGCAAGTCTTGCCTAAGTAGTAATGGCTCGTTGAACTTGACCTTCGGACAGTCACTGTTGGCTTCGTTCCTTTAAAGACTAACTTTCCAAAGGTTATTGTATTGAGCAACCGATTTAATAGATAAATGTTTGTAGTATGTGTTATTCGGGCGCTAAAATTAAATATTTTTCCATGGGCATCAAACATTTTATTGTGTAACAAAAAGTACCCTATATATATAACCAGGGACTAAGTACCACTCCAAATTTCATGAAAATTCGTCCTACAAATTTTTTTTAGTATATAGACACGGTTTATGTCTAGTATTTTTTTTTAATCGGCTGAAAATGAAATGGTAAATGGCGGGACATCAGTGATTGATGATAGGTGAGGATAAAGTCGAGTCAGTCGGTTGATATATACGGCGTGATGATACTTCAAATGTGCAACAGTAAATTCGTATAATAAAAGAAAGACATATACAACCGTAAATTGAAGAAAGCGTCCAATGTATCATTACTTTTTATTGATTACATTGAAGTTAACGAGGGAAGTCTTAAAGTAAACTTTTTAGCGTTTGAACCCTGGAAATTTATTAAACAAGAACCCTTATAAATAGGCCAGCCCGTGTGCCAAGGTTGTTTCTGTTTGTACCTATTGTCTTTTGACTTGAAATTGCGAAAAGTTTTAAGAGTAGGTAGGTTTTATTAATGTCAAACATCTTCGAACTTTAGGATATAACTTTTTCCCGGTTGAATAATGACGTATTACCATGCCTAAACTACTTAAGGTATAATATAAATAATTTCTGTATCATTTGGAGTCAACAATGAAGAGTATTGTTTGTGTGGATCCGCCATAGAATAGGCCACCCCTTCCTTTTCTGTGGGTGTCGTAAGAGGCGACTAAACGAACATAATGATAGAGGGATGGGCAGTAGCGTCATTCTTAAAATATTTCTAAAAGCCTAACTGTGGTTGCCAACCCGCCTGCTAAGTTTGGCAACTACTGGAACAACTCCCCTTATGGGGAAGGCTTATGTTCAGCGGTGCACGGTTACCGTTTGAAATGAAGATGATTAATAAAGAGTATATATTATTTATTAGTATAA